ATGATTAGGGATGTTGAGCATTTTTTTGTATTCCTGTTGGGCATGTGTGTCTTCTTTTAAAAAATGTTTATTCATGTCATTTGTACACTTTTTAATGGGATTTTTTGTTGTTGTTGTTGAGTTGTTTGAGTTCCTTGTATATCGAAATATTAGTCCCTGTTGAATGAATAGTTTGTAAATATTTTCTCCCATTCTACAGGTTGTCTTTTCACTCTGTTGATTATTTCTTTTGCTGTGCAGAAGCTTTTTAGTTTAATTAATTCCCATTTGTCTATTTTTATTTTTGTTGCCTGTGCTTTTAAGGTCTTAGTCATAAATTCTTTGCCTAGACTAATGTCAAGAAGAGTTTTCCCTAGGTTTTCTTCCACTATTTTTATATTTTTGCGTCTTATATGTAAGTCTTTAATCCATCTTGAGTTGATTTTTGTATATGGTGAGAGATAGGTGTCCAATTTTATTCTTCCACATATGGCAATCTAATTTTCCCAGACCATTTATTGAAGAGGGTGTCCTTTCCCCAATATATGTTCTTGCTGGCTTTGTCAAAGATCAGTTGGCTGTAAATATGTAGCTTTATTTCTTGTTTCTCTATTTTGTTCCATTGATCTATGCAGGATACAAAATCAATGTACAAAAATCAGTAGTGTTTCTATATACCAATAATAATCTAACTGAAAAAGAAATCAATAAAGCAATCTCATTTGCAATAGCTACTAAAAAAAAATACCTAGGAATAAATTTAACCAAGGAGGTGAAATATGTCCACAAGGAAAACTACAAAACACTGGTGAAAGAAATTATAGGTGACACAAACAAATGGAAAAACATCCCTTGCTTGTGGATCAGAAGAATTAGCATCATTAAAAGGACCATACTGCCCAAAGAAATCTATAGATTCAGTGCACTCTCTGTCAAAATACCAATGTCATTTTTCACAGAATTAGAGAAAACAATGCTAAAATTCATATGGAACCAAAAAGAGCCTGAATATCCAAAGCAATCCTGAGCAAAAAGTCCAAAGCTGGAGGCATCACATTACCTGGCTTCAAATTATACTACAAGGCTATAGTAACCAAAACAGCATGATAGTAGTAAGAAAAGGCATTAGTTTAAAAAGCTATTACCATAATACAGAAACACATGAGTCACAGAAGATCTTATTCACCTAGACAAGTATATGCACTAAGTGAGGAAGGAAGCATTCAGTAGGTAATGTTAAACACTAGCACTTTGTTGGAGAGGTCACAATCCTCATGAGCAGAGCAGTGACCACTGTTTTAGAGTTATGGTGTATGTTTTAGTCGTTATTGGGAAAAACTTGTTTTAATTGTGAAAGTAGGTATGAATTTTTCTAAGGATTTATTAGAAGAAAACATTATGCAAATATTCACTGCACAAAAATTTTTATACGTATGTGAATTGTCTCTTACCCTGAAGAAACTTTCAGTGTAATTGAGGAGTTAAGACTTACATATGCGAAATCATTATAAACATGACAGAATAAGAACCTACATTAAACTCTTAGGGTAAGCTTTCTTTGTCTAGGAAGACTTCATGGAAGAAGTGAGATTTTAGATATCCACTGAAGAATTGATAGACTTCCTCATGTTATAATGAAATTTACCTTTTATAGTAGAAGCTACTGTAGCATTTGGTGGACATGCTTATCGTAAGCAATGAATTGCACTGTAGCACAGTAGGGATGACAATCACAGGTTCTGAAGTCAAACTGTTTGAATCCGAATCCAGAGTCTACCACTTACTAAGCGGCATCTCTATCACATGAGATAGGGTTGTTAAGGATTAACGAGAATGATACTTCTATATACTGTGGAAATAGTATGAGCTCTCGAGTCTGATAGACTTTGGTTCAGATCCCAACTCTGCCACTTACTAAAGACCTTAGGCACTTGTCTTCTCTAAGATTCACTTTTCTCATTTGTAAATGGACATAATAAAGCCTAACTCACGGGGCTGTTGTTATGATTAAATGAAGTAATTTATGTAAAGCACTTAGCAGAGTGTCTGATGTGTTATAAAAGCTCTATAAATAATGTTATGCTCTTATAAAATCTAACTCATGTGGAGTCTTCAGTTTTATCTTTTTATTCATGTTTTCAGGGTGAACCTGGTCTGCCTGGATACCCAGGAGACCCTGGTATCAAAGGTTCTGTTGGAGATACTGGTCTGCCTGGATTGCCAGGGACCCCTGGAGCAAAAGGACAACCAGGCCTTCCTGGATTCCCAGGTAGTATTCCTATTTTTAAATTCTTCTTTCTTTCCTTATGTACTCTAACCAGTATTACAGAGCAACTTATTTGGCAGACTTGCATTCTGTTTCCCAATCGGATACTGACTAGCAACATAATCTCAAACTAGCTCTTTATCTTTTCTTTGCTCAAATTTCTTTCTGTATAAAATGAAAATGAGTAATAATGACTCAGCAGGACAATATCCTGTGCACAGAGAGACTGTTTGGTGTAGCATCTTTCAATCTTTGACTGCTAGCCACAAATCAATTAAGAAGCCTTACTATTTTTGTAGGTGATAATATACGCTTCCAAGCTGTAGCCTGCTGCTGATTCTCTTAGAAAGTTGTACGCAGGCACACAGCTAGTGGCTGTTGGTAGAACAATCATACAGTTCATTCAAATGGCAAAGACTGAGTCATTCAAGCAAAGGGTCTTAGCACTATAATCAAGTGGGTAGCCTGAACTAGATTATTATAGTACCTACTTGTTTGTGATCATATTTATTTATTTTTGTCTTCTGAATTACACAGTGGCACAGACGAATGGGTCTTTGGTTATCTTTTTCTTAACCTTTTTATTGACGTATAGCATACATATTGTAAAGTACACTTAAATGTGCAAAACTATAGATTATTTTTATTAATACCTATGTATATATCCATGAATCCACCATACATATCAAGATATTAAATAGTTCCCTCATCCCATAAAGTTTACCCGTGACGCCCTTCACAGGGAACCCTCCCCTGCTACACCAATGTAACTACTACTATGATTTCTATCACCATCAGTTAATTTTGCCTATTACTGAATTTCATATAAGTGGAATCATACAGTGATCCTTGTGTCTGGCTTCTTTCACTCCTTATGTCTGTAAGATTCATTTATTCTGTGGCGTCTGTCAGTAGTTTGTTCTTTATCATTGCTGTGTAATATTCCATTAAAGAAACGTACCACGACCAATTACCCATTCTTCTGTTGATGGACTTTTGGGTTGTTTCCAGTTTGGGACTATTATGAAAAAAGATGTGATTAAAATTCTTTTACATGTCTTTTGGGAAACATATACACTGATTTCTCTTAGACAAACACTTAGAAGTAGAAACACTGAGTCACAGAGTAGGTATACATTTACCTTTAGTATATGGTGCCAGACATTTTTCCAAAGTGGTTTAATAAATTACAGTCCCACCAGCAATGCATGAAATGTCCACTTGTTCAGTTGCCCATGTCCTCAGTGTCACTGGGTACTGTCAGTCTTTTTAATTTTATCTATTTTGGTGAGTATGTAGAAGTATCTTACTGAGGTTTTAGTTTACATTTTTCTAATGAATAACAATATTAAAATACCTTTTCATATATTAATACTTACTGGCCATTTGGATAGCATCTTTTTTAAGTGTCTTCTCAAGTTTATTGGGTTGTTTGCCCTTTTTCTTATTGATTCAGAACAGTTTTTTGTGTGTTCTGGACATGAGTCCTTTGTTAGATACATGTATTGCAAATATGTTCTCCCTACCTCAGATTTGCCTTTCACTCTCTTAATGTTGTCATGTAAGGAACAAAAGGTTTTAGTTTTAATAAAATCCAGTATATCAATCTTTTCTTTTATGATTAGTGCTTTTTGTATCCAATTCAGTAAATATTTGTCTACTTGAGGTTATGGAAATGTTCTCCTAATTTTTTACAACCTTTAGTGTTTAAACTTTTACATTTAGGTTTATGATCTGTCTCGAATAAAATATTTTTATAGTGTGAGGCAGGGGTCAAGGTTCATTTTTTGTCCATACACTTATCTAATTGCTATCCACACTACTTTTTTAGAAGAACCTAAGTTTACCCAATAAATTTCAGTCCCTCCATTGTCAGAAAACCAAATGACGAATATGTGGGGTCTGTTTTTACACTCTGTATTCTGTTCCATTGGTTTATTATCTGTTCTTGCTTTAATACAATACTGTCTGAATTATTACAAATATGTATTAAGCCTTGAAATATGGTAGTATAAGTACTACAACTTTGTTCCAGTTTTTAAAGCTTGTCTTGGCTATATTAGGTCTTCTGCATGAATTTGGGTGTCATTTTATCAATGCTTGTCTTGGCTATTCTGGGTCTTTTGCATGAATTTGGAAATCAGTTGATCAATCTCCATTAGAAAATACCTACATGAATTTTGATTAGGATTGCAATAAATCTCTAGATAACTTTGAGGTGAATTCATATTTTAACAACATTCAATCTTCTAATCCAATGGACATGTTATCTTTCCATTTATTTAGGTATTTAATTTAATTTAACAATATTTTGAACTTTTTATTTTATAGATCTTGAACATCTTTCTTTAAAATTATCCCCAGAAATTTGATGCTTTCTGATGGTATTTTAAATGGTATTGCTTTTCCAGGTTCATTTTCCAGTCCCTTGTTGGAGTATATAGAAGTAATTGATTTTGGAATACTGAACTTGTATATAGGAAAATTGTTGATTTCACTTATTTATTCTAAGAGTTTGTAGTTTTTTTGTTTTTTAAACTGACATCACCTCAGATTTTTTTATTTCTTTTCAGTTCTTCATACCTTTTATTTCTTTTTCTTGTCTAATTGTACCGGCTAGGACCTCCAGTATAATATTTAATAGAAGTGGTTATAGTTGACATCCTTATCTTTTTCCTAAACTCAGAGGGAAAGTGTTCACTATTTTACCATTAAATATACTGTTAGTGCCAGAATTTTTGTACATACATTTTATTAAAGAAATTACCTTTTATTTGTAATCTACGGAGTTTTTTTTTTATCGAGAGTGGGTGTGAGTTTTATCAAATCCTTTTTCTGAATCTACAGAGATGATCATGGTTTTTTCTCCTTTATGCTGTTAATATAGTGAATCACACTGATTGATATTTTATGTCAAAACAACTTTGTATTCTTGGGATAAACTCCAAGATGTTCATGCTATATATATTATTTTTAACTATTACTGGATTTGATTTGCTTTTTTTTTTGCAATTGTCTATGACCATGGGCAGTATTGGCCTATTATTTTCCTTTCTCATAGAGTCCTTGTCAACATTTTGCTGTAGGGATTTGGTGGCCTCATGAGTTGGGAAATATTCTCTCTTTCTCTATTTTTTCTTTAAATGTTTCATAGAATTCACCAGTGAAAGAATCTGAGCCTATAGTTTTCTTTATGGAAACATTTTAAATCACAGATTCAAAGCCTTTAACACTTATATCACTATTTAGATTATTTATTTTCATGTCAGTTTTGATAAATTGTGTTTTTCAAAAAAATTGACCATTTCATCTAAGTTGTCAAATTTATTGGCAGAAAGTTGTTGATAATTATCCTTATTTTGTCCTTTTAATTTCTGCAGGATATGTAGTGAGGTCTACATTTAAAAATATTTTGACATAAGTAATTTTTGGTTTCTCTCTTTATCTTGAGCAATCTTGCTAGGCATTCATTAAGTTTTATTCATTGTTAAAAATTAACTTTTGATGGGCCGGGCGCGGTGGCTCACGCCTGTAATCCTAGCACTCTGGGAGGCTGAGGCGGGCGGATTGTTTGAGCTCAGGAGTTCGAAACCAGC